AGCACTGTAGAAAACACACAGGAAACTGAGGCGTTTTGCTTACACTGCACACAAATCTGATTTGGTTTTCAAATCAATCTTTAGGATTGACTGTCTGCACTTTGTCATTTTGCAAGTGATGAAAACTGATCCGTTTGTTTAGTCATTGTAATCAATATCCGGCGTATTTACAATGGTTACTTCAGTAATGATAAAAGCGTCAGCACCATGCCAAGAGCCTTTCTCATAAAACTATGAGTAGCTGTCATTTTGGAAAGAGAGGATGGAAAATCATGAGCCGCATGAGACAACGGATGACAGAGATGTATCACGCATTCATGCGTATACTCTGTCCAAAACTGCTGACTCGTTCACTCGTTTACTATATACTACATAGTGATTGTGACACAAGCTTACATCCACTTTTTGCGCTGTTCTGTTATTGACAAAGTGAAAATGCCAAAATGAAAAAGCCTCAAGCCTGTTTCCATCCAGTTGTTTCCAAACTAGTTTTTGCTAAATTTGAACTATCATCATAGAATTTATGTGCTAAATTTATGCAAAAAAAGATTGTGTTGAACCATGAGAATTTTTAGTGACAAATCAGCTATATCTGTAAACATTTTGGTGCGCTACACCTTTTCTTTTTAAGACCAAGATCCTCTAGATAAAATCCACAAGCAAGGATCATATTGAATGGAAGTCCCCTGGAAGAAGTCCAGGACTTCATCTACCTGGCCAGCATCAGTGACCAAAAGGGGGGTACAGACACAAATGTCAAGGCAAGGATTGCCAAAGCAGCCTTCATACAGCTCAAGAATATCTGGAGCTCCAGAGATTTGTCCTTGGCAACAAATACCTGCCTTTTCAACTCCAACTTCAAGTCATTGTTGCTGTATGGAGCTGAAACCTGAAGGACAACCAAGATGACCATCGGGAAGGTCCAAACCTTCATCAATAGCTACCATAGAAAGATTCTCCAGATCCGCTGGCCTGACACTATCAGCAATAAAAAATATTTGGGAAAGGACACATTAACTTCCTGCTGAATAAGAAATCAGGAAGAGAAGATGGGGCTGGATAGGGGACACCCTTTGTAAACTGCCAACCAACATAAGGGGGCAGACATTGAAGTGGCCACCCAAGAAACACCTGGCAACATGACCTCGAGGCTGACATCATCAAGATGGGTTACACCTGGAACCAGTTGGAAAGAATGGCCAAGAACGTCTCGGTTACGTATGGTAACCCTCGTTCCCTGAAGGAGGGAACGGAGACGTCACGTCGGATGACCGACAAATTGGGATCTCGCTTAGAGAGACCAATCTACTTCGAGTGTAAACTAAACGAGCCAATGCACATTGGCATGCGATTATTGCATCCAGCTGCTGCTGATCACAGCATGAGTATAAGTAGGCAGCAGATGCAGCGCATATTCAGGTTTTCGCTGAGGAGCCGAGCCGGCGACCCGGCCGCTCAGCGGTGGTACAGGAGCTGTGGCGACGGGACGTGACGCCTCCGTTCCCTCCTTCGGGGAACGAGGGTTACCATACGTAACCGAGACGTTCCCTTTCAGTCGGTCACTCCCTTTACACCTTTACACATATGGGATCCACTTAGGTCTTACATATGGAACCCAGCCTTCTACTAGGACCTCGTACTGGTATGCCCGCCCCTCGAACGCAATCCGCAGGAATGGCCTGTGGCGCGGAAGGATCGAAACATAGAAGTACGCGTCCTTCAGGTCGATCGCTGCGAACCAATCTTGGGGACGGATACACCTGAAGATGCATTTCTGCGTGAGAATCTTGAACGGGAGCCTGTGAAGGGCCCGGTTCAAGACGCGCAGACCCAAGATAGGTCTCAAGCCACCACCTTTCTTGGGTACAATGAAGTAAGGGCTGTAAAACCCCGTCCTCATATCGGCTGGAGGAACCGGC